AAACTTGTAAGATTGGGTGTTTAGTAAAACAAGTTTCGTAACGCTAAGCATTTGTTTCGATCATGCAGGCGTCATTTATCAAAGAGTGTACATTATACCTGGGGAAATTCGAAGTTTTTTCGATTATTCGAATATCACATATATACGGTAATTGAAAAATTCGAATGTTCGACTATCGAATAATATTCGAAATCTGAAATTTTCGAATATTCGAGTTCTTGAATCATTCACTTTCGAATTATTTATTCGAATAATCGAACAATCATTCGATCCGGTCTCAAGTATAGTGTACATATATATTATTAGGTTGTCCTAGAGTAAACTCCTTTTTAAACAATTCAAGCTGTATTTGATTACCTAGTAAACCTAAGTATCTTTCGATAAAGCAGATTGAGCTCTAAGAAATGACCACCAGGATCCGCCTACTTCGCATTCCAGGTAAAGTTTGAGGCCAAAATCGAAGACAATTCGTCGCAAAATTGAATCTTTGAGAAAAAAGAACCCTACAAACCTCCAACTTGGTCATTATACGTAAGCACATAGCAGCAAATATGCCTTTACTGGATTTTATTGTGCATAGAAAGCGAGAAAAAAAGACAGTCTAAAAATGACAAACTCCGCTCCCAGCCCCTCCCACATATGTCATTGTATAACAAGCCTTACTAATTTTGAGTAAACCTTAAAACTTTACTTCTATATGTGCTTGTATAAGTACCAAGTTTTACATGAAAAACCCGAAAAAGTGGCGTTTTGGCATTCTTGGGCCATTATTTTTCTCGATTTTGGGCGTAGGAAAAAACCACCAATTACATTTGTGTGTACTACTAGTGTCTACTATACAAAAACCAAGCTGAAAAGCTGAACTTTAGGGTAGTTGAAAAAACAAGATTTTTGGCTCCAAATTTTACCCGCATTACGACTTAGGTGGATCTGGACTCTGGTGGTATTTTTGTAGAGCTTGCTCCGCTCTATCGAATAATAACCTAATTCCGTCAGAAAATAAAAACACTTGGGACAATCTGATAGTAACAATCTTAATCATAGCTTCTTGCTATCCAGGTCCAAAGCCCTGAGATTAGGAAAGAAAACGCAAAAACATTGACACAGATATTATCATAGAGGCAGTGCACTTGCATAGCAGTTTTCTTTTGAGACGGACTTAAATGGAAAACTCCACGATACAGGGTTTTTTTCTGGCCCCAAATATTCCATCTATTGCGAAAGCTTAGTGTGTCTCAGAGCCCTGGCACAAGCTGATAAATATAAACGTGGAAAAACGTGTTTTTTGGAGAGTACTGAATTCGACAAGTTTTGAGCTGTCTAACAATAAAAAGAGTATCCAGCATGTAAAAGACTTTCAGGTTTGTTACTGTAACTCTACAAAATATTTTTGAATGCGATTAATCGCAGCTTTGGGTGAAGGAAGCTTTGCTTGAGATGTTTGTATATGCCCTGAAATTCGTATTCGGCGCAAAACTTATTCTTATACTTGTCAACGACTTCCATCTTTGTGCTGCTTAAACCGTTCTCGAACATGCTCTTCAAATGAACCAAAAACTTTTTTGGATCTCTGTAAGATTCAAAGATTCTCAAATTCTCAGATTTGGAGGCGAAGTTTACATCTACTCAGTGATTTTCGCTAGGAACGTTTACCTACGTAATAAAGCCAAGTTCAATCCTAACAAAAAGAATAATAATTCTACACTCTGGGTATGGAAGTAGTAGGTGTCCCCATTCTTCCAAACAATCCATTTACAATGGCATCCCTTTTAGAGTCGCATGCATTAACACATTGACGACCATGCAGGTATTTAGTTGTCTGCTCTCTGGGACCAAGGCCTTTTACGGACCAGCCCGCATTTTCCAACTATAATTACGCATAATGCCATCTACAGTACACCTACAATAGATCTAAAAGTCTAACAAAAAAGGTGGAAGTCTTCCTTAAATTCAGTGCAAAAGAAAGCTCGTAGAGTGAGTTTATCCCAGGATAGTAGCCATTTCAACAAAATTCGAGCCTTGACACATATGGTTATCAAGCTTGTGCGGTAGTCATTGCTTGACACACCATGTGTGTCAAGCGGTCGTCACCGTGTTAAAATCACCGTTGGAAGGAAGCGTACGTCAAAAAGTTTTCACCCTGCGCACTTCAAAAAAAGGAGCTTTACTCTTCTCAAAGGGCTCAAAATGCTTTTGGAGTCAGTGCGCTCCAAAAACGTTTGCTTTTCTGCGGTTAAGCACTCTAATCAGCTTCTGCCAAGGCTAAGACAGATGTTTTCACAGAATAATTTAATTGACGCTAGAAAAATCTTTGTGCTCATTGCGTTATTCAACCACTTTAACCTTGCTCTGGAGTGAGCACAATTTCGAGCCTCAAAAATCAGCTTCTGTCTTGCACAGAGAGTTGCGATGAAACAAGTGCATTGCTTGTATGCTGCTGTATCCGTGGCGAAGTTCTTGGATTTTTGGGAGGATAATTTTGAGGCTTTGGAACTGAAAGGCCAGTAGAAGGGACTGCAATCGAAAACACAGCCATTTGCGCAAGATGACATCTGCGTGGCCTGAACAAAAGCTTAGATCGCAGAACTTTTCTGGCTAAACACAGAATCTCAAGAACTTATACATACTGTGTGCTCAGCTTATCATAGAACTATAGGAAATGAGTTTTGAGGCTCGAAATCGTGTTCAGCTCAGGTAAGGTTGAAACTTAGCCTTAGAAGCTACTTAGAGTGCTTGGAAACCAAAAAAGCAAATGTTTTTATAGCGCACTGATTCCAAAGCATTTTAAGCCGTTTGAAAATGATAACGCTTCTCTTTTGGAACTGCGCTGGGTACATTCTTTTTTGAAGATAGTGTCTCACCAAAGTTGAGGTCGCGCGGATCTTCACATATTATATTATAGGGACGTTAAACAGGCCATTGCAACAAGTTCCACTCAATTTGACCCCCTCCAAGCTGAAAAAATTCGCTCAAAGTGGTAGGCGGAGAGCGAGTTGGTAGCGCGGACGACTCCTTCGGTCTCCCCCTTACGCGTTTGAACATGTCCCTTCACTTGACATCCACATCCCCTCTGTTGCTGCCACTGTGGCTGAGGCTGAAGTTGGAAGGTACAACTTGTCCACGTTGCTTCCACGGGGCCTCCAGAAAACGGGGTTATTGGGAACATCGTGCGATTTTAAGCCCATACAGTGCTAGACAGGGTCCGCGTAAGGAGGGAGACCGAAGGAGTCGTCCGCGCGTACCAACTCGCTCTCCGCGTACCACTTTGAGCGAATTTTTTTTCAGCGTGGAGGGGGTCAAACTGAGTGAAATTTGCTGCAATGGCCTGTTTAAACGTCCATATAATATAATATGTGAAGATCCGCGCGACCTCAACTTTGGTGAGACACTGCCTTTAACCCGGAGTACACGGAACATTCCAAGTGGAGCAGCGCCGCCACTAGCTCAGCAAGATAGATTAGCATGAAGAGACGCCGACTGCAAAGAGGCGCGAATCCTTGCAAAGCGGACTCCTGCCAATCCAATTCCGCCTAAACCGAGTTGAACCTTAGGGTTAAGCCAGACCTCGCGGCGTACGCAGCGTACGCCGCGTTCGCTCCTATGATTAAATATACCGAGCGTGCGCTGCGTACGTCACGTACGCCCATACGCGGCGCACTCTGGCTCAACCCTTACTATACAGTGTGTAGCAGATCGCTTTGTTACTGTGACTTTGCATAAGATTTTCCGAAAGATTGCGATATTGAGCAAAAAAAGATCTTTGTTTGGTGTGCATATAATCATGAACCGCTAGAAATTCGCATTAGGTGCAGAAATATTCCAAAATTTACACTGATTTTCATTCTTGTGCCGTGCATACCGTTTTCGGCTATGCTCTTTCAGTAGTACCAACGTTTTCTTGAGTTTCTTCAAAAAATGCCGAAACTCTTAAAATATGAGATGTTCGTATAATCATGAACCGCACTTTATCTTGGAACGAAATTTTCTCGCTACTTTGTAAGGCTAGTGATGGTAACTAGTTCTGCAACGTCATTACTCCAAAAACTTGCAATGTTTGGTGCAATCATGCGTTATGCGATTATGAACGCGGGACTTTTGGCAAGTTATTCAGCAAACCATCAAGGGAGCTGGAAAAAGATAGTTGGTATTGACCTGCAAAAGCTCAACCCTCTGCTATCTACCAAAGTTCCCTCAGACGTCTCAAATGAACATTCTGACGAACACCTAAATTTAGACAAGAAAATACGGAGTATTGTGAACTCCAGCGATTATCTCAGTGCTCGTCGCTCATTTCTTTAATGATACTTGTTGAAGCATCTGTTAGTTCATTGTAACTGCTATTTACGTTTGCATTTCGACCATCAAAACTTATGTCCTAATTTCATCTTGAAATGTAGACTGAATGAGTCTCCACAAAATTGAAATGCTTCTAGGACATTTCAAAACACTAAATATATGCTATTTGATGTGCCAATAAGAATCGCGACATACTCCCGATATTAAAAGGCACCGTCCACTCGAATTCTCGACTTCCATGTTTCTGTTGTTCCAAGGCCTTCGTATCCCTGATTTCGAATATCAAGTCGAGCTGCGAAAACCCCGACAACTCCCGTTTCGCAAAACCTGCAAAGCGAGTTCTCCGGAACGGTGATTGGTTGGGTGCGTATGGATGGGCGGTACGTACGCCACGCAATCAAGGGGGAGGAGCCAACGTGAGAATCCCATCCGAACGATTTTCGAAGCAATTTTATCGCTTTGGAAGCAACTTCTGGCAGCGCGAGTTCGGTAAGTATACAGCTGGAGCCTTCGTTGCTGTTAGAGATCAAAATCTCATCAACCCCATCTTGGGTGAAGGGCGGGGGGGGGGGGGGTGCTTTCAGGTACATTTAGAGGTTCCTATAACTGCAGCGGTTTTCAGGACAATTGACATTACTGGCATTTCTCCTCTCATTACTAGGTCATCCCAGAAAAGACATTACATAGATGCGAGTCCTTTTTTGCTCTTGGCGGATGCCTTGCTAACAAAAATTAAACGAGCAGGGCCAGCTAAACACATTCTACAAAGAAAGATTATTAGTAAAAAATTCATAGCTCGGATCTGCAACAAGTAACAATTTTGCAAAGTAACAAGGATCTAATGTACAAAGGAACAAGAACAGAAGATATACGCAACAACAACAGACAAACGTAAACTTTCAAAGCTCAAAATTATTACTGAACAAGCATACAAAATGAGCAGAACTATGTATACCTTGCTAAGTCAAGCCTAGGCACAATATTCATAGACTGCAACTCTTGGAACAATAACTTGCAAGCGTAGGGTATCTTGATGTTTGCCAGTGATTTGCTCGATCGACAGTACTGACACCAGCCCTGGTATCCGATCAAACCACATTCTGAGCATACTTCTACCTAAAAAGACAATGCTTCTTTACTGGCTCGTTGCTCCCAAACTTGCTCCCACCTTGAATTCATCAGATGACACCATCAAACGTTCTATAAGCAGCATCGATGCTCCATAAGCAATGAGACAATCCCTTTCCATTTCACCCAAACGCAGTCCTCCCTCTCGCGACCGACCCTCTGTGGGTTGCCGAGTCAAAACAGCCCTTAATTTGTACTATATAAGGCGTGGCATTGTAAAACAGAAATACAAAAGCAGGTATGATTAGCAGATCCGTTGTTTTTTCCACACAAAAGGTAAAGTTAAATTATTCGCAGCTTTAACTTACACAGACTTTGCCAAAAATTGGAAGCAAATTTACTCGTGTTTTGATTTAATTTTGATTGAAAACACTGGTTAGAAATTTTCAGGGGTAGAGGGCATCATTTCTTAATTATCCCAGCGGGTTTGTGAAGCCCTTCAGGGACTGGTCCTTCACAAAAATAGGTCTCCCAATCAATTAAATGTACTTATAGTTTGCCATTTTATCATCCAGTTCCCCCTCCCTCTCCCCAAACATGAACTGTGAGTACTAGTTTGTGCAATTTCAAAATGCCTGTTGGGATGTTATGTTTAAACTCAAGCAAAGGTGACTAACTAAGCCAACCATGTATCTCATATGAGCGTTCAGTTCACATTCCGTGATAAACTTGACAATTGTTCGTATTCCGTGATAACTTTAGAACTTCGGTTCTAAAGCTACAAGGATGCTCACTCTGTTCAGCAAGAAGTGCCATACTTCGTCAGAAGACTGCCAAATAATACAGGATCTGTGCTTGATAATGCTAGAAAAAAAATGTAGCATGGGACAAAGAGTAGGCTACACTGCATGTGATCGTATTACCTTGAATTGTGGGTAATTCCGATAAAAGCTCAAATTTCAACTTTAAACTTTTTGCTTAAAACTCTACCTGGTTCAAAAGCTTATTGGATAATAATCTTGATTTTTTGTCAAGATAAAAATAGCAATTAATGTAAAGTTATCATTACAGAGAATGTTAGAGAATGGTTTTGAGTCTGGTTTCAGGACAATACCATCAATTTTAGAACCAAGATTTACCTCGGTCCCCTCGCTCTAGCATGCATTTTGTCATGCACCATGTGCTTCAGTTTTTGATAATAGATCGGTCCAAAGTAGATATACGCGGATAACTGCTGGCCTGTGATCCCACTCGTCAGCATATCCTTGCCCAGATAATTGTATCCGTGAGATGCCAATTCATTGCAGACGTCGATAACCTAAAAAATTTTGGTTGACTGACGAGACTCGCACTGCAGGGTGGTCCCAAAAGTGTTTCTAATTCGAAGCCATATTATAAAAATTTTTTGGTCTTTACAAACAAAAGCAAGTTGGAACAATTTTATACCACAGGAAAACCACTTGTAGAAAATGCAATTCACTCATTGCCCCACCCCACTACCCGTCTTCCTTTAGCTCGCCGGTGTGGCAGTGGCAGTCATACCTGGTCTCCTCCGAAAGCTGTTCCATAGTGGTAGCGCCCACTCAAAACAGCATTTTTGCTGCTCAGCAACTCCATCAGCTTTCCCACGGTCATTCGTGAAGGGTATCCATGAGGGTTCATAATCATGTCTGGCACCATACCCAGATCGTTGAAAGGCATATCTTCCTAAAAAAGTACGGAACGAATGACAATCAAATGCACAAATAAAATACATACCTGGGCTGCGATAAGCCCACACACTCCTTTCTGACCATGTCTAGATGAGAACTTATCTCCCAATTCGGGGCGTCTGCAATGATGTAAATTCTCGAAATTAGCTCTATAACATGGACGACTATGACTGGGTACCTTGTTTGCCTGAGAAGAATTTTTATCAAGTGCGCTTCCTCATCATTGTAGGTCAAAAGCACTCTTTCAGCGTAGGAAGGCAAAGGGTTCTTATAAGTTATTGAGACATCTTTGTACTCGATCGAACGAGATCCAGGAGCAGTGGCTAAAAAGAATTCTTGTAAGTTTCTCTAAAAATCATCCCATTTAATAGCTGTATCACAGCAATTTTTAGCCTGTTTATGCTTCCCTTTTTTTTAACCAAACTGATTTGGATATACGTCATTGAAGTCAAGCGCAGCAGAGCAGGAAACCTCTGAACACGACCACTGAATTACCTGTCTAAATCCGACCAAACGAAACAACTCTATTATCTACCGCACAGTACCATACAGGCCTGCTTTAACAAAGGAGAATACAGGTCACACACAGATGGGGGATAGAAGAGATCCAACTAACCTAATAATAAAAACCTTTTCGACTTTTTTTTTGAATCTAGCCAAATATATGATAAACAGCGACGCATGTCCAAATTAGTATCTTATACAAAAATGCAGGATATACAGGAAAGATTGCTTTTGAAAGCGGCAGAGTGCTGACTTCATGTATGCCCGCATGGTCTGCAGGAGTATCTAGAACACTAATTGAGTCAGATCTTATTGTAGAGGATAGCTGAAATGCAAGATGGTACTGGCTCTGTTTTCCGTGCTATACCTAAGCCGCGCTAATACAGGATGAGCCGAACTGGAGAAAAAACATGTTGTTAAACCTTGAAAAAAAAACTGTGGTTTTCGCAGCACTATCATTTCCACAACAAATCAACAAGAATTCCTGCCCAACGCGCTGTTGCTTGAGCCTACCTTAGTTGGGCCACCAAATCAGTTTTTATGTGCGATCCCCATGTGCCAGCGGTCGTCCCAGGATTTCCATCGGAGGAGGGGGAGGGTGGCAAAAAAATTTTCAAATGAAGATGCGTGACGGCAGCCACGCCACCGAATTTTTTCACACGGTTTTCAAATATTTAAAATATCGTGAAATCCTTTTGCTTATTAGCAAAAAACGGATAATGCTCATAAATTAAACCTGATAGAAGTCTTTCATATTTCTAGCATTTTATCTATTCAATAGTCAAGCCTGTTTTGTTATAGGGTCTATGGAACCATTTTTCCTATCTTTTCATTACTTGATGATGATCAATGAACTGACAAAAAAAGGATAATGATATTGGAAAATATTCCAAGTTCCAAACGATGGCGGAAAAGAATCGGTAAGAGCGTTTATGAATCAAAAGTATTATATTTTCGCATTCCAGCACAGTGCTAAGCATAACGAGGTGTTCGATGTTGAAAAATCAAAATTCCTGGGTGATGAGGATTAGCTAAACCTTATAGCATGCCGTGTTAGCCTACGCTCATGTACAATTCTAAGAATCCGTTGGTATTATGAGCACAGCCTACGCATGGAGCTGACATGACATCATCATTGCTGTACTATTCACTATGACCACCATCGCATTAAGATCCCAATACAAGCGCATTGACGTGGGTAGTGAGTAGTAAAGAGGGGGAGCGACGCTCAAGAATTTTGATTGTGATAGGAGATTATTGTTTAGCTATGTAAGTGTCATTACAAAAACTTGAGCTTACGCTGGGCAGTCGGCGATGAAGTTTCCTGGGAAACCACAGGCATGTGCTTATTTATCATTGTTTGTTTCGAATAAATACGAGCGCCTGCAAAAACTATTCCCTCTTGATCCAGGACCTGAAAATATGAATTGATAAATTAACAATAATAGGAATTTGCTCAGAATAGTCTTACCCTATGCTTGTAGATGGGTTTGCGTGTGAGAGGATCCAGCGAAGGTCCCATCAACCTATCGTACGTTTGGTTTGGATATTTTCTCGCAGTTCCTTTCGCATGTTTATAGACTAGACATCTTCCATACCCTGACACATGAAGTTCACAAATTCGCTTGAAGCTTTGATGATAATGATACCTCTGTCCAAAGATGCTTTGTTTAGCACCAGGGCATCTTCGATATCGTATCCGCTGTAAGACATGACAGCAATGATGCCGTTTGCACCTGCAGGCAGTTTTTCAAAGTTGATCAACTCGATGGTCTGCAAAAGAATCGGTGCAGGGTAGTTCAAAATTTTCAGAAAATCTAACGTCTTTCCAAAAAGCTCGGACATACCCTTGACTTTACAAGAGGTCGCTGCGGATAACAAAGCAGATACATGATCGAGTCGATTCGCTTTTGCTGATTGTAACCGATTGTTCCCATCGCTGAATCGAATATTCTTTTTTTTCTGCTGACAAACCTTTTCTCTTACCTTGTTTACCCATAGCGCATTGGTAGGTATTTCTGGGTGACTGGTTATGGTGTGGGTACGGGATGAGCCCAGCGCAAACGCCCAATAGTGTGAATGGTTCGATCTTCAATATAATATTACGAGTATGATATTATAAAACCGGATTTTTGGAGTCACCTCTAGATGAGTGGTTTTCGCGTTCACATCCGTTTCATACACAGCGATGTTAGCGTCGTTCATCTCATTCACATCCAGATACTCTATCAAACCATCATCTACAAAGTCTTCAAAAATGCGTTGACCTTCTTTCAGTTCCTAAAAAGCTTGCCGCTATAGCTTAGCATTCAATAACACCAGATTCCCCATAGAATGATCTACCTGTATATGATGCGGTTGGAGGAGAACTTTTCCATCTTCTACGATGAGATAAGGGCGACATAACCTACCACCATCGCTAGCAATATACACTGCGCGAAGGGGTAAAGAGCGCGAGACAGATACGAATTCCGACAGAAGACCACTCCTAAAATGTTCAATGTCTACATCGGGACTATATCCGAAAAAAATAAAGCTGTGCAACGGATCGTTTCTGCAGATGAGACAACGCAGCCAAACTAGGAGATCTAAGTATATATAATCATGGGATATAATTTGCAAGCTGCATTGCTAGAGATTTAGCCCAGAAAAAGTCTCCTGCTACGCCCTTTCTCTGATCACAAGAAGCTTGTGCGATATCGGATGATGTAATGCCCCGGGTCAGGTCTCTTACACAAAAGGGTGTAAAAGCAAAAAAGTCCTGAATTAAAAGCGCATGGATGTGATACTAAGCCGTAATAAAGCAAGTGAAATGAGGCGAAATTTAAGGACATGATAAAAAAATGCACAGCCACAAAATGACTTTGCATGACAATGTCGACGATAAACAAAAAAAGTAGAGTGATGAAGACAAGAGGTGACTCAAAAATCATCATTCCATAGCCATATGGGCTTAGGAGTTTAGAAAAATAGGAGTTTACATATAGTATTAACAGATGTTCGAAAAAAGTTGGGTTCTTCTGAACTGAATCCAAGAGATACAGCGCTACGTAGAAGCAGAAAAAATTTCCATCGTCACACGTAAGATCGTGGAAATAAAACTACACAGCGGTGATTACATGAGTTTTATACCTACCTCCTCACTGTTCGTACAGCACGAACCACGCGTGCAGGATCTAATGTTGTTCCCACCAGCAGACCATTCAAGAAAACTTGGTGATAATTGCTGAAAAAACCACTTCATGCATGGTTCTTAATCAGTACCGAAAACACTTACGGGTTATTGATATGGGAAAAGTGCATGTTCTGCAAATCCTCAACTCCGGAATTGAAAAGCAACCGAAGAACTGGCTGAAAAGGGCAAATTAGAAATAGCAAAGTCCCAATATCCGCTAAAGGAACATACCCTTTCATCCGAGTCAGTGGTGATGTGCGAGATGAGCGCAAGATTCTTAACCAGACCACAAGCCTCACCTTCTGGTGTATCGCTAGGACACAGCATTCCCCACTGCGATGGCTGCAGCGATCGAGGACCTGACACCTAGCAAAAATAGAGATAGATTGACCAGCTAATTTACTGAATCGCTAAGCCACAGCTAGGTAGATGGTAGAAGATAAGTTGACTATTGTGACAAACGAATAAATCATACATGATAGCGCAAAAAATGACCGCAAAAATAAACAAATAATTCGACAACAGGTTGCCATGCACCTTACCTTTCGGGTCTTCTCAAAAGTGGAGTTAATTCGTGTCATCATTCCAAGAGCTGAGATATAAGACAATCGACTAAGAACCTGCAAAGACTATGCTTCGCCATCTATAACAGTTGGAAACAATCTAAAAGAATAAAAAATATAAAAAAAGTCAATTTCTCTTACCTGAGTGACTCCATGGCGTTCCATTCTAAATCTCTTGATTATCCAGTTACCAGTAGAGAGGGCGTTTGAAATCGCATTGGTAATCAAATCCTATAAGTTGACAAGCGATCCTCCGACTCATCCTCAGAACAGCGAGTCTAACAAACCTGGCGCATATGTTTCACAATATCAAGAGGGGCTGCAAGCGTCTTCCCCAACGAATTATCCGCCACCCTTTTCAGCTCGCCGTTGAAGCGCTTGAACACATCTTCGAAAAGAAGTGATAACAATGATCCTGCCAATTCAAGTCGCTTATTTCCATAAAAATCTCGATCATCCAGATCGCATTCGCCCAGCTCTGCTTGAATGAGCCTGCAAAAGACTGTCAAACATGAGGCGCCGCCTCGTTAAAAATTAGTTCTACCTCCTTATCATCAACCCCAAAAAGATTGCTTTCATTTTGAAATTTCCGTCATGACATGGAATGTGGCAGATCATAGACCTAAACTAGATTAGTCGTGGGCGGATATCAGAAAAAAGATTGATATATTAAGGAAGAACGAACGAGGACAAGAAGTCAACGGCTTCGTGTTCTTTGGGAACGCTGATATTAGCTGATGCTGCAGCTCCATAAGGTCCACCAAACTTGCGCGCTTTGATCTGAAAATTTCGTGATTGAATAAGAGGTCAAATATGCTGTAGTGGAAGAAAACAAATGAATTGTGTTACCTTAGTAGTAACGTAATTGATAGCTTGCTGTTGGGTGAAAACATTATTAGCAGAGCACTCATCAAGAGAAGCAGCGAAGGCGGTGACATATCTGTAAGTGCCATCCTAGATCACCAAAGTGGTACACACATCTATAACAACCAACTTCTCCTCAAGCCCTACTGCACTGATGATGTTATATTCCGACTCGACACCCATAGCCTGGAAGGTTAAATATGAGAAAATAAAGGTCATTTCTTTTTCGAGAAATCATTATCAATTATGTTAGGATACAAGGAAAAAAACAAGGAAGAAAAATTGCAATAAGATGAGATAATTGTGCTCACCTTGAATACAATGGCAACGGGAATGTCATCACTGAGTTGATTGTGGCGCAGCCAATATCTGTTCCTTCGAGCAATGACGTATGTTTTACTTTTCTTCTCGGCAGTCGATGACAACACCTAACATTTTGCTGGAAATTTAGCCAGAAAGCTGACAGAGTGAGCAACTTACCTCGCATTGGAGATCTTTATTGGAATTTCTGCCTATCATGATTCTGTTCTTCGACAGCTGCTCTTGAATGAGTATCACTTTCTCCGATCCTTTTACGATGAAGTAACCTCCAGGGTCATATGGGCATTCCTGCACGCGAGCAAGCTCTTCTTCGGCCTGAAAGAGCGTGTAGGGGTGACACATCCATGAGATATCAAAGAAACATACCAGATCTTTCAGTATGCATTTGCTCGATCTCAACATGATGGGCAAACGACCGATAGTCAAATCTCGTTTGATGACTCTTTGGCTACCGCGGGTGTACTCAACATCGACATTTATGGGAGCTGCATAAGTCATATCCCTCAAGCGGCATTCTTGTGGAGTGATTTTGTCATGGATCTGAAAGTTTAAATGGGATATCGATAAACTGTCATTGGAGGACGTGCACAGGCGAATCTGGGCAGTAAATTCTTATGGGGATGTCAACCGTCATTGTCAACTTTGCCAGTACTTGACTAAGCACTGCCCAATCGGCAACTCATACAATCTACTCATGGTCAAAAAATTGTACTTTTGACTCCAGTCCAGAGCGTACCTTCTCCCAGCGACCTAGGAAGTACGGTCTTGTCTGAAGTTCAAAGTCAAATTTTCCCAGCCACAATTTCAGTGACTAAGGCCAACAGTTCCCACAAAGAAATCCAGATAGCTAGATTTGCGTAGACATTTCCTTTAGCATACCTGATTCAGACCTTCCTCACTAGATGGCTTTCCAACCCGTATGTCAAGGTATCTGAAATGATGAAAGTAAAGGATTGAAAAACTATTTTGCGAGCAACCTACTTAAGGTAGAAGTTAGGATTAGCATCACTAGTGATCTTCTGATTTGCTAACATGATTGTTTTGATCTCTTGATTGACGAAATAGTCGAAGCTCACGATATGTTGCTTGACAAGGCCTCGCACCTGCAAGATTCAGCATATTGCAAAAAGTTAAGATAATCCGCTCCAACGGAGTCCGAATATATTTGCTTCAAAAATTTTTAATTTACAGACTTCCAATAGCATGTGTAAAACCGTTTCCTATGCCGAGAACTAGAATAGATCGGCAAGGCTTCTTGCGAAAATGCAAAAAATACGGACTATTAAGAAAAGCAAACCTTCAAAAATGCTGGCACAAGTAGCCATTTCTCATCAAGTGGCAAAGACTTCTTTGTCTGAAGTGTAGATAGAATTGCCATGGTTCCCTCTTGAGATGCTGAAGGGCAAATGAAGATATTCGCAACATCTGTGACCTAACAACCAGTCAACTCACCTATATATATCCCAACATCAGAAGCTCATCTAGTACCTCGTCACCAGCTGAGTTTGTCACAGTCACTGAAGTTCAGACGCATGCAAAAGTTTCGGTGGTTTTCGCGCTCTATGGACGTCTGCTGCTCTGCTGACAATCAGCCGCAGCAGGTTTTGCAGCCGTAATTTTTTTCATTAGGGTTCAAGAACATCTCGTCTGCGCTTCGCGTTCTCTAAACATCTTCACATCCGAGAAAGTTTATAGTTATAGTAAATATCTTCCCATTTGCTTTGTCTCTATCAAACAATGGTACATCTCACCATGATTTTGAATCCCACGCATGAGAAGCTTCTTTGTTGTTGTCATTGCATTCCTCTCCATATTCTTCTCCAGTTTGATTTAGAAAAGAAGCAGCCATCGGCATTTCAGTTCTTCAGTTTCATTTCCGATAGCATATATGGTATACCATTCTTCTTCTAACATTTTCCTCCATGGTGCACCTCGTGCGGGATGAGTCATCTCATCGACCGGTCTTTGTGGTTGCTCAGTCAGCACTCGCATTCTACGGGGAAGCAGACATGCTTCTTTTTGGGAATTCAGCATCTTTGATTACGCTGCTATCAGTCGCAGTATTGCAGTATTGACTATGTCCCGAAAAGTAACAGGCGGTTTACTTCGATCTTGTCATCGTGGTCGATAATTTGTTCCTCATTTTAAGATCCTGCAATCAGACTTTCTGCAATTCTAAAGTCTTGATTGTGAATTTGCGTTCTCGTCCTTGACGTATCTGCGTCAATCAATATTCCTTTGTCATCTACAGGTGACACATTCGCCGTCGCCTGCGATGGCGAGTGAGATTTATCGCGATTAGATACTGTTTTCCTCAAATTGTTGTAGTCTCTTGCTTTAGAGCAGCAGTCTTCTTACAGCAAGGAATTTCTGCAAATCTGTCTTGCTACTTCCGACTAGTTTTTTAACTCTTCAAAGTTTATTCAACGTCTCTTCAACGCTACTGCCATACTATGTGCCAGTGAAGTTTGAACAATTGAGAAAAGTTTAGGCAGATCCAGCATGAAGCAATGATCACAAATCTGTTCTCTTTTTATGCTGGACCTTTTTTTCAGAGAGTCACAAGCATTTTTGAAGTACCGTACGTAGTTCAGTATCATTAATAAAAATTTCTTCGATAAATCATGGTGATCGGGATGGCATATTTTGTAAGGAATACTTTATTTGAGCTGTACAATTTTTGTAGTGATCGAAAATCCTTGTCAGAAAGTGCTCGTATTCCATAAAAGACGCCCACATACTAAAAAGTGATTCGCAGTATCGCCTGATTATTCCGTCACATTTCTTTTTAGTTGACCATTTCGTGATTTTTTGTTCGTTAGAAATACTCATTTTCTATTTGTTACCATGCCGACATGTTCCAGCCAATTCTATTTCTAGGCTTGTACCTACTTCTTCACTAGAATGGCTTCACGAAAAACTGTCAATCGCCGACAGCGGCCACAGCGAGCAACATCTAATGTCTTTGCTATGTTTGACCAGGCCCAAATACAGGTATATACATACTAGATTATCTGTGTTTGATAAAGACGGATTTTCATTACCACTTCTGCGAATGGAATTTTCCGTCAAATGGAATGTTTGTAGGAGTTCAAGGAAGCGTTCAACATGATAGATCAGAATCGTGATGGATTCATCGATCAAGCGGATTTGCAAGAGATGTTCGCTTCGCTAGGTATGCGCAAGCTATGAAGTGTTTCATAAAGTATCGTGTTGATGCAAAAAGTTCTGTCGCATCATATTTGAAAAATTATAACTTTTTGTTCTTTTAACAAAGTTGCCCAAACTGGATTTTGCTAGATAGAGGAAATCTTCTTTTTTATAGTGTTTTTACTGCTCTCCAATAAGGAGTTTTGAGATGGAAGCGGGAGAATGAAATTACTTCGATTTTGCTTATTTCGAGTTGAGCTGCTAAAAATCTGAAACGCGATAAAATTCCGAGCAAGCAGTATAGTAAGTCTTTTGATCCACAGTTTCCAACAATGCAGAGTTTGTGTCAAATGAGCATTGCTGTGAAGAGTTAAGATTTTAGAAAAAATATCAAAAAATCAAATTTGCTGTTTTTTATTGCAATCATACTTTTCACAGGGATGCTCATTCAACATAATCTCTGCACTTTTGGAAACTGTGGAGCAAAAGAACTACACTTCTTGCTCGGAATATCGCAAGTTTCGGATTTTTAGCAGCCTAAAAACGACCGAAGTTGAAGTAATTTTATTTTTTTGCTTCCATCTGAAAAGCTGCCCTTTATTAGAGAGCAGCAAAGGCACTCACAAAGAGAAGGGCTTCTTCTGCTTAGCAAGATCAAGTTTATGCAAATCCGTTGAAAGAGCAAGAAGTTATGATTTTTCAAAATTGATGCGACAAAACTTTTGCATCAACCTAATATTTTTATATGGAGGTAGTGATGTTGTGATAGTAAAACATTTGTTCGCTTTAGCCGCCAAAGTTCACGTTTCAGGTAAAGACGTAAACGAACAATTCCTGGATTCGATGGTGAATGAAGCTCCTGGAGCGATCAACTTCACCATGTTTTTGACGCTGTTTGGTGAAAAATTGACAGGTTTGCTTTGCGTTTCTACAAGTAAAATGAAGCATGTTTCACCAAAAAGCATGTTCTTCATTTTTACACCAAAATGAAATTTGGCATTTATCTATTTTTTCTATTTAATTTCGTAATTTGAAGGAACTGATCCTGAAGAAGTGATCCGAAATGCATTTCAATGTTTTGACGAAGACAATTCGGGTAAATTAAGCGAAGATCGACTTCGTGAATTGCTGACAACGATGGGTGATCGCTACACTCATGAGCAGGTACATTCAGTTTTATAGTTTCTAGTCATCGTTTGCTGCTGTATCACATCGTTAGCCAATGAATCACAAGTATTTTTCTCGAAATTGTGAATGATAGCTGATGTAATCATCAACATTCGGTGTTGCCGTAATAGCTTTGAGAATGCAATGGGGCGGGTGAGAGAGTTGCACAATATGGGTTTTTTTTCGGACAAGTTGTAAAATTTTTGGCAGACTCCAGGCATGACTTCTTCCTATCTTGGTAGTGTCTTGCGCACAAATCAATTTTTCCTTGGTAAACTAGCTTTATCTTTTCAGGTCGATGAGCTGTTCCGCGATGCTCCCATCAAGAATGGAAATTTTGACTATGTGGAATTCACTCGCATGCTCAAGCACGGCACGAAGGACAAGGATGAACAGTAATTCTTCACCTTCTGTCTTAATATGATTGCACTCGATTGTTGTGCATTGGCTCTTTCACTGTAATATCATTGGCAGCTAATTTATGTGAATTTATATGTGCAAAAAGTGCTTTTAATGAACTCGACCATTCCCTACTTGATATCTGTAACTACTAATAATCAAGTTTTAACGTATGCTCTTTTATGTGCTATCAGGCTGCATAAACGATATTTAAAACTGGATAAAGTAATTGAGAGAGCGGAAGTAATGAATACATGAATTTGTTTCACAGCGCTTTAAGTTTGCATCGAATTTGGCGTCGATGTAGTAATGTAATCTGACATCATTGTAATCAGCGGATAATCATCAAGCGTTCACACACAACCAGAATATGCTCCCGTCATATCATATGAAAAATATGCTTACAAGGTTCCACAAACTTATTTCAAGAAATCGATTTTGTTGACGAAAACAAACAAAATAACAAAGCTTAAGAGACAATAAGTCTTCGCCTTAAGCAGAGCCTGTTTAGAGCACAAAATCTCAGAAACTTCCTAATAATCTCTTTCAGTTTCAAATTTTAGTCAATTTATCCTGTGTCGATCTAAATATTTGACATAAGCAAGTGATGAGCTTTTTTTGCTAATGAGATAGCACTATATGAAACAGAATAATGGCAAAAGCAGTTGCTTACCCTAGCTTTTTGTGACGGATGTCTCCAAAAATCTTTTCGACTTCTTAGTATCCGCTTTTCATCTCTTTTATGCTTACGATACATCGTATGCACATAGGAGCTTTGTGGGTGTATGTCAAGAGGCTCGATTTTTATTGCCAATCGGTCATCAAATAGCAATAATGTGTCTCACAACGGCTCTGATGAATTTGGAATTTGTAAGAAGATACGTTGAATAGCTTGTTGGTTTGGGGTCGTTTAGTCTTATTACCACAAATTAATTTCAAAACGTATACAGTACCGCTCTCAGAGCGTGCAAAAAATTTCTGTGGAGTGGAAATCCCGGAATTCCGCAACATTCGATTCGGCGGAATTTTCGGAATATCGCCATAATTTTCTTCGTAATGCATAAATTCTGGCTCTGAAAGAAGGGTTATACTCAGCTTGTTGAGACATATCTTTTAATACATCGCCTTACCTTGATTCTCGGGGTACGGTAATTGTACAGTAAGAGATAATGTTGCTTCTGTGAGAAGTGGACGTGCTCGATGAATACAATATTCGTGTGCTGTACTCGTATCCACCGGCGCTTAAGTATTACAGAGGTACTGCTTGGAAGCTATTAAGAAAAGAGAGGAAGAACAACAACCTGGACGGCATCACCATGGTATGTTCGCATTTTTTTTAACAACCACAACCAATACCATAGATACTCCTCCCCTCCACCTCCCCCCCCCCCATAGAATTTCAAACAAATCGCAAAGAAATCAATTTATACCCACCGTAACCCGAGAAATACTGTAGGGCGATGTACACACCAAAAGGTCCGCCTTAATGAGCTGAGTGAATCTTTCAGATTCAAAGTTCATGCATTCCGAAGGAAGCTACGGTATTGGAAAATTCCGCGGAATTCCGCGACATGCCCGGAATTCCGCGACATTTTATATTGAGGGTCAAAATTTCTAAAACGCAACTATATTATAAATTCATTAGCATTTCACTCAGTTTCTCACCAAATCCGTCAAACTCAGCAAGTATTCTTTGAAGGCTCCCATAACGTTCAAATGGACTTCTGAGTTGATGATTTACATAGAAATTACACATGTTGACCGGGTTCCGATTTGTGACTATTCTTTGAGATTATTCGTGGAAGAATTCTGAAATATTCACAATATGTGAACAGTTTTATGGGCCGTGCTTACTTTTGCTCTATTTCGAAACAACAAAAATCTATAGGGAAATGATGGAGATGTCACAACTCTGCCATTTGCCAGAAGCAGAGGAAAGGATTACGTTACCAAAAATGGAATAGAACAGCATCACATGGCTCTTCTACAGAAGTTTACTCTCTTCTTAAGCGGGAGAAGAAGCAGGAAAAAGTTTGTCCATAGTCACCTACCACCTTGGGAGCGGCAGTTTTGTAAGAGGTGCCGCGCATAACGTTTGTAATGGTCTCAATATTAGGGCAACCCCTAAAACTTATATGTGATTTGCGTCTCGATGGTTTCGATTTCATGACATATGAGCTCCTTATTTGTCATCGCTGGAGCTAAGGTTATCCATGGTATCAACCAAATCGTTTCTATGAGGCCGTCCCGAAAGTAATTTCGCCTCTTCTAAGTAAACGCCACATTTCGTAGAACAAAAATTCCTAAGAAATTTTGATAGCCTTCGATGCACCAGTTCATTTTCTTTTTAGTTGTTGCAAGATCATTGTAGCACAGTTAGTGAGCTCTGAGAAAATTACCAAAACTGGCTACCCTGCCTTTTGAGGTTGTCAAGTTTCACAATTTTTCTGAACTTTCATATCAACCCTCCGAAGGGGTCCAAGTAACGAGTCGATAGAGCACACACTTCAGAAAACAGTGCAAAATAAACAGTACTTTTTCCTTTTTGCCATGTCTCGCCATAATTTTTTGAAAGACTTTTCTTTACTAAAACAAGATTTTGGCAGGCCTACGTCAGCCGCGATCGCATCAAACACTATTACTTCAGTAATGAAACTTCTAAGATGGTATTTGGTTTGACACTGCTTTTACAAAGCAAATGAGAGCTCACGGATTCGAAACTTCAAATTTGAAAACATGATTTATGGTAATTTAATCCCCAAGACTCCACCAATCGTGAAGAATAAACATTGTATTGAAAAGAGGAGAAAGGCTGCATTGAAAATTACTCGAGCTGCTCGTTCTTTGATGTTCTACGAGGTTTGAGTTGACTAAGTATGGAAACTGGTAGCATTAATTGAAATGCTACTAAAAATATGATGAGTTATGGAAAAGAGAGAAAATTGTTTCTTATCTTGTAGGGTTCTATCCATATATTACTTGGACTTCTCCGAGTGATCGGTACAAAAATTTAGAAAAACAGCGAAAGTTGACCGTGGCCAAAAGTAGTGGTCGTGTTCTTTGGTAATTTTCCCAGAGGTCATTGATTATGCTGCTGCAGGATTTATGACCATTGAAAGGAGGATAAATGCTGCATCGAATGCTTTTGAGGTGTTTCTGACATGTTCTACGAAACGTGAGTTCATTTGAAGAAAGCAAAATTACTTTCAGAACGACTTGATTTACCTAATTTCAGATCAATTTTTAGAGAGAATTTGAAGCACACTTCCACCAAAAATAGCACTCCTCAATCATTAGCTAATGTCCAGATCATAAACTTAAAATACTGGTTCTGGTGGTGTAGAACATAATGGAGGAGATGATATAGTATTATCTCATACAGATAAGTCGCCCTTGAATTAAAATCTTTGCTATTCAAAGCAGATTTTTTTGTACAAAAATGCTACCCTATAAATAAAATCGGCATACTGGCTGACAACAAACCTTTTGAAATCTTTAAGGCACAATACTTTCTTTACAAGATGGTAAGTAATGCCCACGAGTGGATTATGAAAAGTTTGGTTTAATGACAAGCTTGAAGCGTAAAGTCCGATGTCAAGAAGTAACATTTAATAGAAACGGTAAACACATAATGTAACATTTCAATTTTCATACTGATATATCAGAATGTAACCGGATTGAGTTTGTGAACCAGCTTTGATTACTGAAATAGTGAGAATTTTTAATTGCTTTGAGAATTTGATCTAGTAGGTCCAATGAAGGGTAAGAACTATAAGGGGATCCAGGAAAACGATACAAATATTTCACATTGTGTACTCAACATTAGTTTCCAGAAAGAAACGGATAAAAGTCAAATCGATAGCAGCGCCTTTTGTCGAATTTAATACTTCAGTTGATCTAAAGATCAACACTCAAGCATTTTGAAGCTACCTGGAGCACTTTTAACTAAAGCTATAGCCTTTCAAAAGCTGAAAGCCTGTAACGTTTTTTTCAGCCAGCAAGATGCTAATATCTTCACTGAAAGTTTGGTATTCCTCGTTGCAAGAGATCAAAAGAATGATCAGAACCTGAACGAGCGCGAAAATGAGTGTATAAAAGAGAGCGGTGACTAGTGCCCGGTGCAGTTCAGCTTTTTGAGGCTGGTCACTTGCTAACCCCTTTTCTACTAACAATGATGTGAGTCTTTTCTCTTGGATCCCTTTTCCTTTCTTTTTGTCACTTTCATGATTCGTTATTTTGTGTTTGTTTCAGGTGGTTCTGGTTTATTACCCTAATCGTACCCGTCCTCGCTTACCCACTTGAATCGGATGGAAGTGGTGCGCCTCGTATGTGTCCCCAGTCAGGAGAAGCCGCTCCAGCTTATCCACCATACGACTACGTTCCTCAGGAAGAAGTGACCGAACCGCCTCAGGAGTGCAACCCTTGCGCCATGGAAGAGGCGACAATTCCGCCTACACCGGAGCCATGCAGTTGCTGTGGCGTGGAACAGGCAGAAGAGCTAGAAACTACGGCTGCTCCAGAGTCCTGCTGCTGTACGGAGCCGGAGCCGGAACCGGAACCAACCCCGGCAACGGAATGCACCTGCCCACCCATGGAAGAAGAGACCACGGCTGCTCCTGAGATGTGCGAATGCCCTGTACAAGCGGAGCCCGAGACGACTGCCCCACCACCTCCTCGTAAGCCCATTTCAATTGCTTTTTTTTCAGCGCGTACATTCTTTTTTTTAGCAGTTCCATCGTATTGTGGATGCGGCTGTGGATGCTGTGACTGCTGCTGCGATTGCTGTGAAGAGCCAACTACAACCACTACCACAACTACCACAACCACTACAACAACGACTACCACCACCACTACCACCACAACGCCAACAACGACCACGACCAGTGAGTACGGTAGCTGTACGGTACGAATTTTTTGGAGGAGATAATCTTTGTTTCCAGGCCCTCCATGTTGTTGTTGCTGCTGCCGAAGGAGACCTAGCTGTGGATGTGGATGTGGTAATGGTTGTCAGAGACCGGTGGAAGAATACGTAGAGCCTGCACCTGAAATGGCTGTACCGGTTGGGAATTTAGTGGAAATCTTATTTTCTAATCTGGATTCTGTAGTAAGTACTGATCCGCTTTGTAGGAACCCATGGTCTGTGCTGATGGCTGGTTCCGTTATCAAGATTCCTGCTACTACATGGAACTAACCAAAATGGATGCCGCAAGCGCTGAGAGAGCCTGCAACGAAAAAGGAGGATCCCTCTTCGTGGCCGATACCCTTGCCGAATTCGTAAGTTGCTGCATGGTAGCTGAGGGAATGGAAAGTGAAAATTCTTTGTAGGACGAAGTGATGAAGGAGGCTCCACTCTATTTTTGGAGCTGGATCGGTCTTGGGCAGTCCGATGGTAGCAGTTATCCGAAGTGGCACATGCAGGGAACGTAAGTGCCTTCTGTTCTGCCTTTTGAAATTGAAGCAAAAATTGTTCCAGTTCACCGATGAAATGCGAGAGATGCCTTCCACCTATGCCAATGCCGATTTGGGATGGCATCTACGGAATGGACCCATCGCTACTGTGAGCTCAAACCATGCATGGATCTGCTTTTTATCTAATATCATTCATTCCAGAAAATGGCTGGTACTTCCATTCAACGCAATATCGAACGGATGGTCTACAGCTGCGACTTGTGTCGCTTACTACAGTATCAATGTCTACTCGTCCACCTACCTGTACTTCTATCCGTGCTCGTACGAGTTCTACTCGGTTTGCGAGAGAAACACCACACTTCTTGGCTATTGAGCTTTGATTCTGCTATTGAGCTATTGACATAATGTTATGTTGGGCGGATTATTTGTCGGGCGGGTACTTGCCTTCTGTGAAGGCCAAACTAGACTAAGTCATCGGAGTATATTGATATCGTCTATATATGTGTATAGCTATTTATATATCGGAATAAAAGGTTGAACTGCAGTAATTTTATTGCAATTTGAGATTAGAGATATTCATGAGAAGTGGGCGATAATTGCAATGCGAAAGTACAGGGATGTCTAAGGAGCCACTTCTAAATTAAACAATGTTGTAATCGCTAAATGGCAAATCTTGGTTTTCTTGATTTGTTCACTAAACAATGCCTGTTTCCGCACGTGTTGTTGAACTGCGACTTCTTATTAGGTTTTCGTAGAGCTTTTTTGCTTTGCTTGTATGTTTCCTCATGGATTCAAGTTGATCCTGAGGCTCTTCTCCAAAATAAGAGAATGGGAGCACAAATTTTTTTCCTTTTTGTTACATTTGCTTGGAGTCCTAAAGCAAGAGTACATGTACAAATATTGCATTACAAATATTAAAGGAGAAATTAAACAATCTGAGGTAAGAAATTTAGACATTAGACATAGATTCATGGCTATCCTTGTGAAAACATAACAAGTGGCTTTCAAATTTTTGCAGTATATCTTTTTTCTCTTCTTAGGTAGAAGCGTAAGTATTGCACTAAGTTAGATCAAACCATTTATGAGTCATTTTCCTATATGCTACTTGAATTCGTGGCACATCTGGAAGAGCAAAGTAGACTTTACGAGATGTCATTAACATCAACTTGATTCAAGCGAAATCCTAAGCCAAAAAATCTAATGCTCTCAAAATCAGGAAAGGAAATCGCAATTTTGTACGAAAAAATTTTGCGAACGTGCACTCTAAATATCGAGAAAACCAATTTTCCAAGCTGTCGCCGAAACGTTGCTGAGCGATTTCCATGCTAGTAATTTTATACCACAAGTTTTTAGAAGTACAACTATAAATTTTTAGCTTTTTACAACAATATTTCTTAAATATCAAATCTTGTCCCTTTTAATCAGATTTTTATGCCAATACTGATATATTCTGAAAAGTAGCAGTCGAAAGGCTAGAAACTTCTACAAACTAAAATTAAAGGCTAAATACTTTTGGAGACTTGTGACAATCACTAGTCTGAGCACAGCTCAGGGTCAGAGCTCGGCACAGCTGGCACCGGGTCAAGCTGGATATCGTTTTTAGGGCGGATAGCAAAGGGAACATCGTTTTTCCAGGGTCCGGGGCAAAGAAGAGCGGCAAGAATACCGCCGGTATGCCACCGGCGTGCTATCTTCAAACAAACAAAGGCGTTGTTCTGAGCCGAAACGCAATAGTATGACACCAAATTTGGTGTGTGCATGCGCGTTGGGAGACCCGAACTATGGCCCAAAAATTTTTGAAAACTTATGTGAATGAAAGCTGTGCTGAACTTTTTTCTGAATTAGCTGGCACCGTGTCAGCTGAGTGCCAGCTGAGCTGGCACCGACATTTTGCTCACATAAGTTTTCATACTTTTTTGCATAAAATGTATCTACGCTGTAAAAGTTTACATACAGAGAAGAAACAATTTCATAATGTTTTCTTTTCAGCGTTTTATAGCCATCTGAAGATTACTCGGTTTGCTCCGCAGTCGAAAAATCGGCTTTTTCTGCTTCTCAAGATGTGATTCAACCACTTAAAAAGCTTAGAAAGCTGTGAAAAGTTGTTCCATAAAATCGGTATGCATAAAAACCCTACTACATACTTGTACATGATCTAAAAATAATGACGGGTCTTCAAAGCAGGTCAAAGGGGACTTCGTACGAAATTTTCAAGATCAAACGAGGCTTCGTTTTGAAATTTCCCTGGTGCCAGCTCGTGACGAGCCCTGCTCAGGGTTGCTGCAAAAATATAATTATATTCGTTTGCTCAATTTGCAACAAAAAACGAAAAAGTACATGTCAAAATTGATATCATATGAATGGCTTTCTTTGTCAACTTTGGTATAATAAGCCGAATAAGAGGAGCTAGTTTTATACTTCTCAAAAAGTAAACGTTCTGGAAAGCTAACTTCACGTTCTCAGACAATTGCATCGGAAAGTTCGCGGCCTCAAAGCGTGCTAATGGGGCGCCGCGGCCCTTAAAATTCCAGCCGCGCACGCCGCGGCCCATGTATATTTTATCGGGAACGCCGCGGCCAAAGTTAAAATTGGAAAGAGCTTATCGGGAGAGTCGCGGTCCAATCACCTCACTCGGCGTGCCGCGGGCCTTATCAAGGGCCGCACTTCTTACACGCTGTAGCTTAAGGAGCAACCCGCGTGAGGTACGCCGCCGCGATGGAGCTACCCTAAGTGTTTGTGGGCTGGTGATCGCTTCTCGGGTTGGGTTGTGTGACATTTGAGTTTATATACTCACGAAACAAACTTCATCAATCGGTTGAATGTTATCGACGAAGTAGATGATGTCGACAGATGAGCTAACAAGTTGCTCAATTTGTACTCAATCGTTGTCAGAAAGACAGGCAGAATTTTTTTCACTCTCCAGGCCTCACAAACATGCTAATCGGGTCAACTATCGTGCGCTTACAGGATGTGCCGCGGTCACTTACCGGGTCCAATATCGGTGTATACCGGGCAGCTCGCGGCATGGATGATTGGTGGCCGAGCAAGACCCACGAACTTCCCGGTGCAATTGTCTGAGTTGTACTTCTAGAGACGAAATAACTAAAAAACAACCTCAACATTGCTTTGCAGATGGGTCGTAGTTTTTGTCTTCAAACTCCGCATTTTTGCGCTTGTTTTGCTCTATGGTCAACACTTACTCAGACAGCCGCATCGGGAAGTTCGCGGGTGCTTGCTCGACCACCAATCATCCATGCCGCGAGCTGCCCGGTATAAACCGAAATTGGACCCGATAAGTGACCGCGGTGCACCCTGTAAGCGCCCGATAGTTGACCCGATTAGCATGCTTGTGAGGCCTAGGAAGAGTGAAAAATCTTTTGGCGTGTCTTTCGTGACAACGCCTTGAGCACAAATTGAGCAACTAGCTTATCGGTCGACATCATCTAATGTCGTCGATATTACTCATCCGACTGCTGAAGTTGATTTCATTAGCATAAAAACTCAACTCTGTCAGATAGGACCAAATCCGAGAAGCGATGCCCAGTCTCATAAACACTTAGGGTAGCCCCATCGCTGCGACGTACCTCACGAGGGTTGCGCCTTAAACTACAGCGTGTAAGAAGTGCGGCCTTTGATAGGGCCCGCGGCCCGCCGAGTGAGGTGGTTGGGCCGCGACCTTCCCGGTAATCTCTTCCCGATTCCAACTTTGGCCGCGGCGTTCCCGGTGAAATATACATGGGCCGCGGCGTGTGCGGTTGAAATTTTAAGGGCCGCGACGCGCCATGTAACACGCTTTGAGGCCGCGAACTTTCCGATGCAATTGTCTGAGTATGTAGGGAGAAAATGTCTCGTTGTGGTTTAGTTTGGTGCAAGGCTTGTGTTACAGCACGATAATACCGTGGTATTCAAGCTTGTAGCCGATGTTTAAAGAAACACTAGCCACACGTGAGCGAAGTTTGTGCTGTTTACATCATCATTGAGTGGTGTCCTCTCAAATTAATTCCAAATTAGTTTTTGCAAAAAGGTTGGCAGCCGTAGATAGAATATCTTTCTTGAAGCTAGAACAATAGCAATGTTCATATTTAATTGCAAACAGTTTGTTGACTGTAATTCATTCTTTTCATTGAGCGAAATTTATCTCGAAAGTTAATACTACTCACAGGTTAGAAAATCTGCAAAACTTATGCGAGAATTTAACATTTCATGGTAGCAATTCAAAGAATGAAAGTGGTTGAAGTATCACTATCACTCAATGACTGGTTTGAACTAAAATTGATGTGTTTCATTTCAGTAAGTAGTTTCTATCCTTGTGGTGGCCATATTTTGCGCACAAGTGAGTTCCTGGCTCTTCATAAGAGAAAGCTTGCACGCTGGTTGCCAATTACTTTTGACGTTTCTTAAGTGCTAGACAGGAATAGCCTTCAAGATCTCTTCTCAAAGCATAGGATCCAGCTGTTGATACTTATAAGTAAGAGTTCCTTTACCCTACTCTTCGCAAGGGATGTCAATCGCTCCATCTCATGCGCAGCCATTCAAGGTTGGAATTGCGCGCTGCTTGGAGCATTTCCATATGTATCAGGTTGTGTCCCATACTTTTCAATTTGAGTTTTCACCGACATAAGTCAGTTCTTCTTAGATTCCTAATAGGATGCGGGGACCACTCGTTCATAAGTTTGCACAAAGCTTGATCGGCATTGAATTTCAAGCCAAAATAAAAAAGATTTGAGTTTTCGAAAAAAAACGAAAATAAATCGTATTTAAGTACAAATTTCTGCGAATTTCTTACTCGCGCAAGAATTTGCTCTCCCCTTCAGGCTTTTATAGACACCTGCTGTACTTTTCTGATAGCTAGTCAAGAAAAAAAATGATGCGCTTAGTTTTCAAAGTTCGCCTGTAGCGGCTTTGTGTTCCTCGCAAATACGCATAGCTTGTTAGCTACTTATAGCTTGTTCACTCAGAATACTGTCATGAATTTGCATCCTTGTACGTGCCCTAGTTTTTGAGAAAAACCAAACTAAAATTTCGGATATGAAAAGACAACCTTACGGGATAACCTCTCAAAGTTAGAAAACTTGAGTAAGCAATTTGTCGTATAACGGTAACCAGAAAATAGCGTGCCAGTCAATGTCCAGATTCTATCAAAATCTCTGAAAAACTCAAGTCTATTCGAAAAAGATTTTTATTGGTCAAGCGCTATAAAGCTGTGAAGTAAGTACAATACAGCTATTAATTTTTGAAATACGAGGCACAGTCACTAAATTATGTAGCATCACCGTAGCGTGGCATATTTCGCTTCAGAGTGGACGATTCTTAATCCAAGGGCACCATTCGATTTAGCTTGAAGAGCGCATTTTCTGGTATATACAGGGTGTCCCAAAAGTAAGCACACACTTTTCATTCGTTGATATCTCTCTTCCCATTGTGTTTTTTCCGCCATCTGCCATTCTGTAGAGGAGGCTTTAACTTAGATTTACTGTATCAAGCAGCAGCGATCATTCTTCATTACTGTAGGATTACTGTAGGAACCTCGAAAATGATTTTAGGCTATTGCAAGCCATATTCCGCCTAGGGACAAAGCCAAACAAGCCAAATACGCTTAAACTATGGTAATGGAAGCCGCTGATCTCGAATATGAAACTTCCATTTTACTGTGACGCTTCTTTCCAAAGTTATCCCAGGTAGACCGTAATAATCGAATTCCCAGTATTTGTCAGAATTATTACACCGTCAAGAAAGCTGAAAACACTCGTAAAAAGTTGTGTAGTGGAATCAGCGCGCACGAAAACCCTAGTACACTATTTTTCAGATTATTTGAAAAAAATTTTGTCAGGTGGCATGTTTCACAATGTTCCACTTGCTGGAAGTTCTTACCGCAATCCAAGATAACGAGGAACAATCGATGATCTGCTCGATACTGTAAATCTAAGTTGAAGCCTTTTCCAGAGAATGATGCTTGCCTCATAAAAGAAGACCCATTGGGAAGAGAGATATTGACGATTGAAAAGTGTGTACTTACTCCTGGAACACCCTGTAGAATTTTACGCTCGGGCACAGTAGCAGGTCAGATTCCACAAACTGTTTCAGATTTTTGCCTACGGTAGGTTGCCCAGTGAGTGCAATTAATAAGCACACTGAGTAGCCTACCGTAAGCAAAAATCTGGAGTGATTCTGGGAATCTTGTCTCCTACAGTGTCCAAGGGAACTCCTATATACCAGAAGATGCGCTCGTCAAGTTGAATTGAATGGTGCCCTTGGATTAAGAATCGTCTACTCTGAAGCGAGATATGGCTACGCTACGCTGATGTCACATAAATCGGGCGACTGTGTGTCGTTTATCCAAAAAATTACAAGCGGTATATCGTAGAGGACATGAACCTCGAAAAATGTATTGGGCAGGAGTGGGAGCTTTGGAGTGACTTTTTAGCCAAACTCCAATCTTCCATCCACTTCGCGAATATTTGAACTTGCACATAGACTGAATTGCACGCACACTGTATCAGACCTGGAAGCATGTTTTTCTACATGGAAATAGTTGAGTAAATCATAATCTAACTATAAAATAAAATGCACTCACTCTAATGGTCAGGCACCTGCATCTCTAATTCAAAATGCTCTAATCTGTCGCAAATTCCCAGCTATTTGAGAGTACCGTTTAAGTGAAGGCTCCTTTCCATAGTGCCAAAATGTACGGATAGTACTTCAGCTAATGAACGGATAGCTTCAGTAAACTGCAATCCTATGTGACAAGCAAATGAAAAATGAAACACGGAGTGCTCCAAATGCCATTAATCATCTCTTAAACATGAGCAGGGGTCAAAACCTTTTCAAAAATTTCTGAACTATTGGCCATGGTCCGAGCTGCGTTATATGATCGGGAAGCATGAAAAGAATCAGTTCCAGCATTATCATTGTATTGTCAGATGCAGAAGATACCAACTTTACAGCAGCGGCGGTCCCCAGAAATTGTTCTCAGAGAGGGAAAGGGGTGGAACGAAAAAGCCCTCCAGAAATTTTTTGGGTATTTTGAAAATTTGCAAGCTTATGTGAATACTATGGGAATGAAAAAAGTCACCTTTACAATCCATTTAGATCAATTCCGAAATCCGCGTCCGTTCTTTCCCTCCCCACTTGCTTCCTTTCCCTTCCGTCACCGTCACTGCCTTACATAGTGATGAATCGGGTCTAGCTAGAATACCAAAAAGATCAACATTGAGGACAATATTGAGGACCACAATATCATGCCTCTCCAACTTCATCCTAATTGAGATGGTTTTATGATGGAGCAAGGAGGAAGCTACCCTTTGTCCCACTGGCAATGACACCATCTCGAGCGGCTCGAATTCTGCGCGACCGGCTTGAGCTTGCTTTATTAACGATTGAAGTTTAGCGAACCCGGCGCAAGCCCAAGCGTGGCGGTCCCGCGCTTCAAACCGCTCAAGACGGTGTCACTGACAATGAGAAAAATGGTTCAGCTATACAGTACCACGTTAGCTCGAGCATTTCACACTGTACAGTTCCATTATTTCAGTGACAGATACAAAGAAGCGCGATGAGACTGTGCCTGAACCTAATGCAGTACGCTCCATCGATTATTCAAGTGAAAAACAATACGCAAGTCTTCGCGAACCACCGTCCACAGAGCTCTATCCCTCGGTAACCATTTCAATTCATAGTGAAAACTTCATCAAAGCCAATACTTGAGCTGCCGAGTTCCGTCAGCATGCCGACATATCCCAGCGATCTTCGGGGAGAGAAGTTACAGCATTTGTCCGAAACAGAATGGGATCGAGCGCAAATGGCTTTTCCCTCGGACTTCTTGAATCTTGAGAGGAACAGCGTAAGCAATTTCTTATGGTCGCTCTCGTACATAACAAAACTTACAGGAAAGAGTGTCAGTCTTCGCTGCTGCTGATAAAGCCCTTGAGCATCAGTTGCGTGTTGAAGAGAGGCGAAGATTAAGGAAACTAGCCAAGCGGAACCGAAGAATTGAAGCTGCGTTGAGAAAGAAAAGTTAGTGAGCGTCAATCTTCAGTATTTTTTGGAGTTAGCGTGGCTACGCGCACACATTTCAGATGAATGAGTAGAAGTCACTAAAACAAACTTGCATAATTTTTAATTCTACATGGAACACTCACATGGAGTATCAAAAGAACTCCGAAACCAAGGGACATGTATTAGGTCGATGCAAAAGTAATGGCCGATTTGCAAATTCTCACTTTGACGTGCTATAACTTTTTAAAAGATCCACATTGCTGAATGCTGTAAAGACCATCAGAAGCAGCAAACCTTCCGCAATACAGCGCATATTCATTTATACTCAAATCATAAACGGGAAGAGAAATACGGACTAAGAGACAAAAAAGGTTCTTCTGCTAGAACCTTGTTTTTGACAATTCATAACTTCCTTCAAAGTTTCTTAGTATGAATGATAAGTGGCCTATCTTGTAGCCCGCAAGCCAGTAGTACAAACTACAATAAAAAGAATCCGGACAAAAAAGTTTGCGAGAAAGAAAACAATTGAAATTCAAAATTTCTCAGTTTTTTCAACATTTTTCAGTGCGCCTCAAAGTCCGGAATATAGAATTTTCTGATTTTCTACGTAGTGAACAGCTGGATGTTTTTGCAAAACCTGCTAATAAATGTCTAGCTCTACGCTTACAGAAATGAGCAAAGCTTCGGCGACTGACTTCCTCAGAAGAAAATTATGGGTCATGAAATGACCGCAACGGCTATCCATGTTTAGGCGCCGATATCTCAGTCTTAATTAATGTAGAGAATTTCTATTACATACAATAGCTAAATTTTCGAAGAAATCCCATTGATACGCGCTTGAGTTCTGGCCGGAAAAGTGAATGCAATGGAATTCTGAATTTGGATGCGGTTATTTGAAGCTCTGTAACTTTATAAGAGATAAGGTTGAGAGCCCGTTTCAAACACCGTTAGATAGAGCATGAAAACAGCTTCGCGATGGATTATATCTATCGTAAAGAAGAAGTATTGATGGAAAAAAGTTGCCCTGAAAAAAGGCTTGGAATTTGGTCATTACTTTTGCATCAACCTAATAGCATTTCAGCATAATTTTCAAGAAGCAAATGATGATCGCTTTTGCTACTTGGGGAGCATACGTCTGCTTTCTAGAGACATAGAGATGTAGTGCTGAAAATGCCCCCTTACTTGTTAACTCCGGGAAAAGATTTAGATTTTGTCTGAGCCGTTGCCACCCGTATAAAATTGCTAAACATGATTATTTTGAAATGAATTATTGAAAATGATATCACTTACACAGTACAAGCGATATTTTGAAAATTCAAGCAAGATTTTCTACTAAGTGGCAGCCGTAATGTATTTGCTCCGTTCCGTTTTGGTGGTTAATTATGTTGAAATGTGGATGGGAATATTGAGGTAGTGAGCTCAAACTCCAGCTAACACGATTTCCAAAATTTCTGATATGCTAAATTGTTCATACGTGTGATCACTGCTCCTGAGTATCACTTAAATTGATCAACTTCGTTCTTTTCAGGAATGCAAGCCATCGAAACATTTGCTCAGTTGGTTACAGCGGTCACAGCTCTCTTGAATGAGGACAGAGTCAAGAGCAACGGCATCGAGGCACGTTCTTTTTCTAGCCGAGCGACTTTGAATTCTGTATCTAAATTACGTAGAATTCAGTGGCGGTCCGAGAAATTTTTTTCGGGGGGGGGGGGGCGCGACAAAAATTTTTTTCTGAAGAGGGTGCGTGGCGTCAGCCACGCACTCCGAAAAAATTTTTGGGGTGCTTCTCAAAATTTTTGCGGGTCCCCGACCCCTAAAGTCTGAAAAAGGGGGCGTGGCGTCAGCCACGCCCTCGAAAAAATTTTTTTATATGGCTAAAATGAATATTTAAAAAATATTAAAAAATATTTCAATTATTTTCAAGTGCAAACAAGTCGTTTGCACATTTTTACAACCCATATAGGCAAGTTTCAAAAATTTCGCGACCCATTCTCGGGGGGGGGGGGCGCGCGCCCCCCCCCCCCCCCCCGCCCCCCCCCTCGGTCCGCCATTGGTAGAATTCATGCAATTTCACAAATAATTGAGCAGCTTTTCTTCATTATTATAAAGTACGTGATCTTGAATTGAATAAAAAGATCAGTTCTTCATTCAGATTCGCGTATCTATAAGAATAAATGGCCCATACGGTATAGCGAAGGAAACCACAGTGACTTCGAATTGAAGCTCATAAATGTACATTCTCGGGAAGGTTGCAGAAGTATTATTAAACCTTTTAATCCATTTGCAAAGCACTTTTTTATCATGGTTATGCGAAAAATAACTTCATGAAATCAATATTGTGCACAGAAGAGAGAAGAGGTCTTAAGTTTAAATGTAATAGGTTCTGCAAAAGGTTCAGGTTCATCACCAATCTGAGAATATAAAGGATATCTCGTTTTGTCATCGAGGTGGGAGAACAACCAAGCACCTTCTTTTTTCACTTGACAACTCAGCTTTTATCTCATGCTGCTGTGTGAAGGTTAAAGGGACGGGCATACTTCACGCAATTTCAGTCGCGGCGCGATTTGGTAATATTCCAGCTGTCCATTACTCACTTTAAGCACATTTTGAATGTACAGAAGATAGGGCAATTTAGCAATCCACGTAGGTCATACACACTATGCATGTGCAGTTTGCTAGGTTGGATTTGAAGACTTCTGGCGAATGCCAAGTCGCGTCGCGACTGAAATCGCGTGAAGTATGCCCTGAAGTATGCCCGGCCCTTAAGAAGAAAGTAACTGGCAGGAGCTATCGTTATTCTTTACCTTCGGGTTATGTACCACTCCACATACATCGCATACAGGGTGTCCCAAAAAATGTGCACGCTGTTTGATCATTAATAATTCTCTTGATTTAATATCTTTTGTCGAGCTTGATGTACCATTATGTAGAGCGGGGTTAAACTTGGATTTCCAGTGTGGAGCGAATCACCAATCACTTTTCATCACTGTAGGATTACGGTATGAACTTTCAGACATAGCGCGTATTAGGCCTTTTGATGGAAAAAAAATTCCAAAAAGTATGGAAATTTGTGTATCAAGGTTTTCAGGCGTGCTGATTCCAGTACGCAACTTTTCACCAGTTTTTTGAGATCTTTTAATGATGTAATCACACTTCCGACGAATACTGGAAAAGAAGATGTTACCCTAAATCTGAACTAAATTATGAAATAAGCATTACAGTGAAGTGCAAATTTCATATTTAGGATCAGCGACTTATCGTTAGTTGGTTCAGTATAAGAACTGGTGTGTTTGGTTTTTTTCTGAAGTAAAATATCGCCAGTGGCCTAAAAGCCTTTTCGATGATGTTCCTACCGTAATCCGAGAGTAACGAAGAAAGATCGGAGATCCGTTCCATGCTGTGAATTTGAGCTGCACCTCGCTCTACAGTGGTACCTTAAACTCGGCAAGAAACCTTCAAGCAAGAGAGTTATTGACGAACAAACATTGTGTTTTTTGGGACATTTCATGATCCGTAGTGGGTTGACAGCAGTTACGGTCATATGCAGTTACGCTCGTATTGAACATCGCTCGTAATGTCGTCCATTCATGAAAGAACTGAGTTAAAACGAACCTGACTCCTCTGCTTGCTTTACGGAAGGATATAGAGTCGCACTGGCAAATTTGAAAGAGATGTACATTAACAAAAGCGCCTTCAAACGCGTATACATATCTGCTTCTCAAACTTGCGAAAGGACCATCTAGGAGAAGCTAAAGCGCTTGAAACTCCAAATTTGTCAACGATCTAAAACGTTTTACATCAGGTGGCGGCATACCGACTCTTTACCACAGTACGTCAGATGATTCTTATATTGGTTAAATTTCAGGGTACCATTTGATAGAGCAAAGCAAGCTATAAAAGATGTTTTACGAAATTCGTACCAACTTTGATTTATGGGTTAAAGTCAAAAACTGAACGATGCAGATGCGTGAAAATACAAATCAGTATCCACCCAAAAAACTTGCCAAATACAACGTACTTCGTATATACATGATTCATAAGAGCAGTTGCAGTATTTTTCTTGGCTAAAAATCGAAACGAAAATTTTCAGGTCTTCAACGTAACAGTGCTGAGCTCTTTTCACGCTAATACTTGTATACTACAACTCCTCGCTAACTTTGTGAAATTTCAATTCTCTACAATGGCATTCTTTGATAAGTATCGAATTTGGTCTAAAAATTAGAGAAGGAAAGCCAGTCTTGATATTTGTCAAAGGGTAGCTCTCGTAGAAGGCTGAAGTTCTAAGTTGTGTTTCCAGGTAATACGCTTACTAGTGTGGGAACAGCTCAGTTTGCTTCAATGAAACTTGAAACTTTTCTTTTTCCTTGATTCTGAACCAAGGGAAGCAAGCAATTGGATATACTATGAGTGCATCACGTGAAATGAGGGGGAAAAGAGATCTTCTTGTTCCGTATTCAAAATCTTCGGTTCTATAGTATATATTTTGGGACTTTTTAAAGTTCGTTCGCCAGTTTTCTGAAAATTCATAACTTTCTTGCTTTTTAGTGGTTTTCCTCGAAATTATATTCATTTGAAAGAGGAAACCGTGCTCTTTGAAGCAGCACCTCTGCCATAAACTAGTATGAGAATATTGGAGAGTTAAAAGCAATTTAAGGAAATTAATCAAGAATGGCATTTTTCGAGTAGAGTCACGAAAAATTCTGAATCTATCTTTATTTGAAAGAGAAATTTTCCATGTAACAGTGGTACCTTTTCCATGGATCAGTATGAGGTAGTTTGATAGTTAGAAGCAAGTGAAGAGAACTACTTCTATTTTGCAATTTTTGAGCATGCCCAAAGAAATCTAAAAACTCACAGCGGAAGCAGAAACGGTCAAACGTACGTTTTATGACCCCCTCTTTTTGGCTGTGTGGACTTTGAGCCGATCGAGACAGGGCTCGGCGAGCTGGCACCAGGGAATTTTCACGAAGTCCCCCTTGATTTTCGCTAAGTTTCACGAAGTCCCCCTTGACCCCAAACCCTAAACCTAAAAAAACCCCAAAAACGAAACGTCGACTGAAAAAACGTCGCAATTTGTCGACAAATCGATATCCCCTTTGCTTTTTGTCCCAAAAACGATATCCAGCTTGCCCCGTGCCAGCTGGTGCCAGGCCGTGATCGAGATCAGATTTCTGCTTTCGTAAAATATTGTAACCTTTCATAGGAACATTGGCTTAGCAAGACTTTTGGCTAAATAGAAAGACGAGATCAAGAACAAATGTTTGTGCATTTTTCAATATTTTTTGTAAAGTCTGTAAATTTTTCGTGAGCTTCCTTAAAATCACCAAAATTTGAGTGGTCTTATTCATGCATTTTTAACTCTGCGAATTCTGCTTAGTAGGACGCATTTAAAAAATTAGAAACAGCATGGCGTCTACATTCAAAAAAATTTTTTTCCCGCGCAAATTCAGGCAGATAGCAGTGAGTTACGATTTATTGAAACCTACCACATCTACAGGGTGTCCCAAAAAGATGTGCTCACTGTTTGATTGTTATTGCTCTCGTGCTTCAATGTCTTTTGCCGATTTTTTGGCACCATTCTGTATAGCGATCAACTCAAATTTGCAGTTTGAAGCGAATTTTTGATCTTTCTCAGTTGCTGTAGGATTAAGAGAAACTTTCAGCATTCCATTGTGAAATGCACCGTCTGGTACTTTTATCCAAAAAATCTGCAAAATTGTGTACTAGACTTTTCATGCATGCTGACTTCAATACACAACTTTTTGCAAGTGTTTTCGTGTTTTTTGCCGGTGTAATCACATTTCTGACACATGCAGGCAAAACAGTAGTTTATCTGGCATAACTTCAAAAAAACATCACAGTAAAGTGAAAATTTCATATTCAGACACAGCGACCTCGATCAGCCTATATAAGAGTTAATGGCTTGTTTATTCTAATGCTGAGGCGAAATATGGCCTTCAATGGCCTACAGTCCTTGTTGAAGTTGTTACCGTAATCCCATGGTGATAAAGAGTGTCAGCGGTTCGCTCCATACTATTCTATGGGTTGTTTACTGCCGCACTGACTGCAGCAGACTGCAGCTGACTGCACTGACCGCAGCAGACTGCAGCAGACTGCAGCAGACTGCAGCTGACTGACCGCAACGGCCGCACAATCGCACGATCACAATCAGTCAGCTTCCTTTCGTAAAGGAGAAAATAGTTGCGAATACATCAAAACACCGTAATTCACGCCTACAAAGTTCATAGGATTCAACTTGCTCTTCTCAACCAAAATTTGGCGATTGTTTTTCTTTTATATGCTCATATTTGTTCTGATTCCTTTTGTCAATGCATGTACCTATTTTAGTCCCGCTCGTGTTGTCTATTGGGGCATACATTGTTAAGAAACTGTTTGAGCTACAACTAACTATCCTTTCCACCTTCACCAAAGGATGTAACGATCTGTGTGGCCCCGCGGTCAATGCGGTCAGCTGCAGTCTGCTGCAGTCAGCTGCAGTCTGCTGCGGTCAGTGCGGCAGTCTGAAACAAACCTATGGAATGGTGCCAAGAGATGGTCAAAAGACAGAAGCAAGAGGGTTATTAGCAGGGCCTGGCACGAGTCCGTTTCTAGGCTTTTTGAAAACGAAGTCCCTCCTGACTTTCGGAAATTTTACGAAGTCCCCTTTGACCCTTGCCCTACCCCTTCCTCCCCCCATCCTCCACCGAGAAGCAAACATAAGTATAGAGTATCGTCCATTCGTTGACTGTACGGACTGGACATAACCGCGGAGCACGCGCCGCGAGGTAAAACGCTTGCTCCGATACAAAGTCGCCATCGTTAAAATCGTGCTCTCGCAACATTTTGGCCGCGCCGCGCGTGGTCCGTAGCGTTTGAGCAGTCCGTACGGCCAACGAATCGACGATATTTGAAAAATCGTGACGATGACGCGACCACGCGCGACACGCACGTCACTTATGGAAATGGCATTTTCTTGGTTTTCATCTCTTTTCGAATTGTTTTTTGCTCAAATATGATAATGTTTAGATAACTGGAAATGACTGAGCTGAACGTTGAGGTGATGCCCTCTTGTATGAGCGTTTTATACTTCTGCGGGCGCAAAGTCCGCAGTAAAATCCGTCGTCATGATTTTATAAATGAACTACATCTAACGGGAACAACTTTACTAATTCAAATTCATGATTTAGTTCCGAAAGAACTTTAAGAAAGATTGCAAAGAAA